TTCTCACAATTATATTGATTCAAATGGAGATCAATTCAAATGCCAAATGCCTTGGCTATATGAAATGGAGAGGCATAACCGAATGGTTACAAGAGGATTCAGTTAGCCTTGTTCCTTTATAAAGTTACATAATTATAAGATGAATGATTATGCCCGTTGGCCTTGGTGTTGGTTTGACTTTCTCTCCAAAAATGTGATGATATTTCAGTTTCAATGAAAGAAAATGAGCATTGGCCGAACAATCTAGGTGTTGTTTCAAGTTGGTGCCAAGATGGGAAGTTGCAAGCCTTTACCGAATGGTGATATCCCTTGATGCATAGGCGCCTAAATAGAGTCATATGGGTTGCACATGTTGAGATAAGGAACATGGGTTCTCCTTTATGTCACATGATCTCCACGCCAAGGTAAGTTGAGCATAGGTTCGACCATGGTGCATACTTAGCACATGATGTGTACTATGTGCTTAGGTGAGTAGTTAGGTAACTAAGTGAGTAATAGCTAGGTAAACTCAAACTAGCTAGCTAGTGACACTCCAGCTATTTAACTACCACCTCAGCTACCTTTGAGCTGCCTTTGGTCCCCAGCTCAGTTACTTAGTCGTCAACTACTCTCCAACTAGATTCAATACTCGTACGTTTAGCTCCTTTAGCTATCATTGAGCTATTGTCATTATGCTTTGAGCTTCCTTTAGCTAAGATGAACTATAATTTGTTGTCGTTGATCTATCACGAGGTGTCATTGCTTTCCTTAGCATCCTTTACACCTAAGTATAACATGAAAACAATAGAATTAGTCATGATTAAGCTAGGAATACAATGAATGATTGTTGTCGTCTATGATATGCATGCAAGTGAGCTAAGTATGAATGTATAACATAACATATGCATACTATAAACTAAGTAAAGATGTGTAATCCAATAATATTCTACATATCAGCATGCAACACATTAAATAACTTGTCATCTAAGGTTAAAGACTCTTTAAAGAAATTGAGATCTTGAATGCACTTAAGTGAAAATACTTTCCTGAATTGTTTAGCCTTAGTTCTTGTGATTGGTCCTTATGGCATAGTCTCTGGATCCGGTGTTGGCATGCTCACATCATATTTGATTATCAATATTTATATATTCTATCAATTTAGTCATAATTTAATTCAATTAAAATAAATTTAATTCAATTAGATGATGACATGTGTTAATACCTGATAAGTTGATATTTTCTTTTTTTGTTTAATTCAATGAATTTTTTATCCAATAATGTGGTGACACATGTGACCACTCTATTAAAGAAAGAAAATAGGCAAGAGAAAATACACTAATGGGGGATCAAACCCGAGACATCCTAAAAGCAAGACTAACGCATAAACCACTTAGCTAAGCTTCACATTTGGTTTCATGTTACAACATTTTATTTATAACTTGTTCAAGTTAATGATAGGGAAAAAAAACTAAAAGTGACTCCAAGGAGACTCAAACCTAGGATTGTAAGCATAAATGACTCCAACATATCCACTAAACTAATCACATACTTAAAACCAATTAATATATTTAATATATTCATAACTTTTGTTAATATAAAAAAATAATTCTTAATTTTATTTATTAATTACAATCTAATATGAATATATATAATATTATATTGTAAATTAATTACAATATAATATTATATATATTTATTAATTATAATTTAATATATATATAACACGATTAACAAAAATAAATAATATTAATTTATAATTAATAAATAAAAGTTAAGAATATTTTTTTAATTAAAAAAATACGAATATATACTAAAAATTTTCTTTAATTATATAAATTAATATTATATATTTATTAATAATTATATTTGTAATAAATTATAATTTAATGAAATAATATATAACAAAAATTATGAATATATTAAACATACTGAAAATTTTCTTTAAGTATGTAAATTGGCTTAATGGTTATAATAGTTTTATCTATGCATCTTAGGTTCAAATTCCCTTAAAGTGTTACTATTACTTTTTATCTACCTTTAACTGGAATAAGTTATATATAAAACGTTGTAATATAAAACCAAATGTAAGGCTTTGTTGAGTGGTTCAAGCGTTGGTCTTGCTATTGGGATGTCCCAGGTCCAATTCCCCCCTTAGCGTATTTTCTCTTATCTATTTTCTTTCTTTAATAGGGTGGTGACACCTGTATCCATCCTATTGGATGAAAAATTTATTGAATTAAATAAATAAAAATTAAGAAAATATCATCTAATTAGGCACTAACACGTGTCATCATTTAATTGAAGATTAAATTTATTTTAATTGAATTAAATTATGACCAAATTGATAGGATATATAAATATTGAGGACCAAATATGCAATAATATAAATTTTTTAACTATCACACGCATCCTTCGATAAAAGTTAACAAACAGTGGCTTGATTGAAGTATTTAAATAGTTGAGTGGCCTGATTGATTAAATTAAAACATCAACGGTCAAAATAAATCTGACAATAGTTAACTGGCCACTAGTATAATTTATCCTAAAATTGTTTCACCTTCTTGATTCCTACTAGACTTCTATTAACTAACACCGAAATTAGTGAGGAAAATAGTATCCGTAACTAGAATTCAGAGTAAATCACACATTTAGTACCTTAACTATCATTTTGATTCCGTTTTAGTTATCTAACTATTTTTTTCAAATTATACTTAAAGTTTAGTTTTGATCACTTGTTGTTACAAAATTAATAGTGATGTTGATGTGTCACCATAAGACAATGTCACATCATCATTGAGAAAATAAAAAAGTCACGTCGACAGTTCTATTAATTTTTTAACGGAAGATTATCAAAATAGATCCAAATGTAACGTTAGATATAATATTAAAGAAAATAATAGTTGTTTGATCAAAACAGAAAAAAAGTGATAGTTGGGGTACTAAAAATATAGTTTACCCTAAAATTTAAGTAAATTGACAATATTTTTTAATTTAATTCTAACATATACAAATATTAATTAAAAATCATACATTCTAGGTTTGAATCTCACCATTTATAAATATTATATTCAAAAATATTTTAATTATTGATTCAATTGATAAATATTAGAAATTTATAACTAATATTTTAAGCATAAAATAAAAAATTATTGTCAAAACTATTTTTGGAATGGTTCGAAAATAATCATGGAAAAAGTAAATGTTTTTGAAAACGGGAGTCGCAATTGGTCATTTTGGGCTATGTATGACCGAATACCATTAAATTGGGCCTATGTTTAAAACCAAATTAAAAAGGGTTTGAGAGTCGGTTAAATGTGGAGAAAGTTAGAGCACCCCCTCACCTCTCAATATTTAGTACTTTTTGAAAATACATGATCTTCAATTTTCAAGAATTATGAATACGAATTTAGCCTAATTATAATCTCGCATATAAATGTAACTTTTAAAGAAATATAGTGGATCTCGTTTAGAAGCAAAAATTTATATTTGCACCCATTTAAAAAGTAAACTCACATAATTTTAAAATGATGTCACCCTGTTATATACAACTAAAAAGGTCGCTCACATAATTTGAAAAGGATGTCACCCTGTTATATATAACTAAAAAGGTCGCAATACAGCTACTTAGGACACTACATCATTTAACCAACATAACAAAATAACATTACCTCAATTAAAAAAAAGCAATTTTCATAAAATGCATTTTCAAAAGTCAAGTACTGCCCGAAAAATCACACATCATTAATATTCATAAGTTATAATAAAATAAAGATAAATAAATAATCAAATATGATGGGTAACAAGGAAAATTTTATTAAATAAACTAATTAGTGAATTAAACCCAACATCAATCAATATTTGATTCAAACATACTAAATTTTAACAACATACATCAAAATTATTATTCAAATTCTTAATTAAGGCCAAAAGATAGATAATTATTGAATCACCAAATTATTTCCTCAAAGTCCAATTATGAATAAAGATAATTAACGAGAGTGTCTACATGTCAAAACTAAGGTCAACTAAAACCAATTAATAAATAATGCGAGTTTACTAACATTAATTATCTAAATTAAAAAAACTAATTAATCAATTAACAAATTATTTAAAAAAATTATAATCAAATTATTAATAATTTATTAATCAAACATGGAAATTTATCATGTTAACCTCGTAAAAACAATTAACACCTCAATTAATCAAATTAATGCCATGATCATATCTCAGTTAACCAAATAGTCTGTAAATTTGTATTTTAATTATAAACTAAAATCATGCTCAAGAAGCGGATGAAATTCTAAAGCAATTTCTAGTTTTATCTACTCCAAGCAAGTCGGCGATGGAAATCAAAGCATTAATCACAAATTACATACTAAAATAAAATTAATTAACCAAAACAAATCTTTAATCAAGCCACTGAAATTTGGTTACCAATTATGCACAGTAGTCATTGAAATTAAGCCACACGTTTCAAAACCAAATTAAAATCATTAAAAAAACAACCATGTAATCGAAGGCAAAATCAATTTGATTGATACCACCATTCAAACCTTGATCAGAACAAGAATCTTCATTAAATCAATTGAGCGATTAAAGCCACATTCAGTCAATCAAATTAGCCATGAATACGAAAACATTAAACCATGAATCATGCAAACCCCAAAAACGTGCATATATTCAATGAAATCAGTTTCGACTGTATTACCTTTTTCAATCCTAGAGATTTGTCACGATTGGAATTGTATTTGAAGAAAGGATTTAGAAAAAATAGAGAGAAAGTTGGGTTTGAAGAAAGGAATTCAATAATCGCATTCACGAAAACTCTCCATTATTTGTTACATGGTATATATAACTAGATTTTCCTTGTACTAATTAATTATTTATGTTGACAGTTTGATTGTCCTTGCTTAACAGAAAGATTTTGTCGTATCTCCCTTCAACATTTCTCATCTTTTGGGTCACCAATGGCAATATTTCCTGAATCAATGAGCACAGCCCACATAGTGGTCGAGCCCATCCCAATCTCTTTCTCAGCCAGGTCTGATTTCTTATCTTTCATTTCCCCAAGTGTTCCTCAACCCCCTTTTCAATATCCCCCATAAGAAATCCCTAATTTCCTTCATGAAATCCCCAATTGTTCTGCTTGTGCCTTGACAATACCCCCCGCAGCAGCCGATGCTTGTCCCCAAGGATCGAAGTTAGGAAATTGTGCCTTCAAGACGCTAAAATTTTCCCAGGTAGAATTTTCAGAACCCATATTAGGCCATTGAATTAATAACTGAGTCACAGCTTTGTTGTCGCGCTTAATGACCCGTTTGTTCAAAGCCATTGCAGGATAAACACGAAGTTGGCCGACTGGATTAACTTCAGGAGGATCTCTTGAGGTAATTACTTTGTCATCTAATCTTCTTCTTTAGCAAACTCACATGAAAAACGGGATATATTTTTGAAGACGCTGGTAACTCCAAGTGATACGCGACTGACCTAATTCTTTTAATGATTTTGTAAGGGCCAAAATAACGAGCCAAGAGTTTCAAGATTTTTCGAAGAGCAACTAAAGTATGATGATAAGGCTGCAACTTAAGGTAAACTTCATCCCCCACCTGGAATTCGCGATCACTTTGTTTATTATCAGTAGATTGTTTCATACGTTGTTGTGCCTTTGAACGTTGTTCTTGTAAAATATTGTTGATGTGGTCATGTTCTTGCATAAATTGTTGAACATCTGCAACTTTAAATTCTATCATCCATGTCATAGTTGGTGGTGTATACCCATAGAGTGCATTGAATGGGGTAGTTCCGGGAGCTGTGTGCAAACTAGTGTTATACCACCACTCCGCTTGAGATAGCCATTTCACCCATGTATTAGGCTGTAAAAAACAGAGACCCCTCAAAAAATGTTCTAAATACTAATTCAACCTTTCAGTTTGCCCATCAGTTTCAAGGTGGTAGGAAGTAGTGAACAATGTAGTAGTTCCCAAAAATTTGAGTAACTCTTTCCAGAATAAGCTTGCAAAGATTTTATCTCTATTGGATAATGCAATCTTGGGCTGACCATGTAATTTGTAAACATTGTCCAAATAAGATTTAACAACATCCGTTGTTGTAGAAGGATGGATCAAAGGAACAAAATGTGCATATTTAGTGAATTTGTCAATGATTACTAAAATGCAATTGTACCTCTTAAAAGTAGGTAGCCCTTCGATAAAATCCATGGTGATGAATTCCCATGCCTGTTGTGGTAATGGAAAAGGCTGTAAATGGAAAAGGCTGTAAAAACCCAGGATTTTTAACATGTTTATATTTAATTCTCTGACAAATATCACATTAACCAACATACTGCTTAACCATGCTCTTCATACCCTTCCAATAGAAGTATAACTGCAATCTGTGGTATGTTGCTTGAATTCCAGAGTGACCACCATGAGGTGTATCATGTAATGTCTGAAGAAGTTGTTGTCGTAGTGTACTCTTAGCACCAATATACACTTTTCCTTTGTACTGCATTATATTTTTAGAATATTACCAATCAGGAAAATAAACAGCTGAAATAAGAAGTTTAGGAATAATATCTGTTGCAATTTCATCTTCCTTGTAACTCATTTCCACCTCCTGTACCCAAGCAGGAATAACAAAAGTAGCAGTCAGTTGACAACTTTCAGCAGAGTCTTCATGTCTTCGGGATAATGCGTCAGCTACCAAATTGTGTTTTCCTTTTTCGATATTGAATCACATAATCCAAGTCTAGGAGCTTATTGAGTCCTTTTTTTTGGATGGTTGTTGTCAATTTCTGCGCCAAAAGGCGTTTTAAGGATTCATGATCCGTTTTAATAATAAATGAACTCCCTTTCAAGTAATGCCTCCATTTCGACACAACCATCAGAATAGTCAGGTACTCTTTTTCGTAAATAGATAAGTCGAGATGATTAGTTCCCAAGGCCTTATTTAAATAAGCAATAGGACATCCTTCCTGACTCAAAACAACATCTATACCCTTTGAACTGGCATCGGTCTCAATACTAGTTTTTTTTTTTAAATTTGGAAGAGCCAAAACTGGGGCATTGCACATAGCATCCTTCAATTGCTGAAAAGCTTCCATAGTCTCTGGTATCCACACAAATTGATTTTTCTTCAACATGGTAGTGAATGGCTTACTGAGTTAACCATATCCTTTGATAAATCTTCTATAGTAACCAGTAAATCCTAAAAACCCCTACAACGATTTTAAATTGCCTGAAAGTGTCCATTGCTGCATTTTCTGGACCTTGGTAGGATCAGTAGCAACTCCCTCCTAAGAAATAATATGCCCCAAGTATTTCACCTCTCGTTGACCAAAAAAACATTTGCTCATTTTAGCAAACAACTAATTGGCTTTAAATACCTCCAAAACGTTTTAAGATGTAATTCATGAGTCTTCAAATCTGGACTGTAAATCAGAATGTCGTATAAAAACCAAGATGAACTTTCATAAAAAAGTATAAATAATCGTTCATCAGAGCTTGAAAGGTTGCTGGTGCATTGGTTAACCCAAATGGCATCACCTTGAACTCGTAGTGCCCATGGTGGGTTCGAAAGGTCGTCTTCAAAATATAATCAGGTTAAATTCAAATATGCCAATAGTCTGACCGTAAATCCAGTTTTGAAAAAAAATTTGCCCCAACTAATTCAACTAGGAGGTTTTCCACTACAGGAATAGGAAACTTATTCTTCACTATCATCGCATTAAGTTTCCTGTAGTCAATGCACATCCTCCAACTTCCATCCTTTTTCTTGACCAATATGCAAGGAGAGGCATAAGGACTGGTGCTAGTCTGGATAATGGAAGAAGATATCATTTCAGTTACTTGTCTCTCAATTTCAGTTTTTTGATGATAGGGCATTCTATAAGGTCTGATGTTCATAGCTTCAACACCTGGCTTAAGTAGAATCGAATGATCATGATTTCTTTTAGAAGGCAGTTCTTTTGGTTCCTCAAAAATAACTTGATAATCATCCAAAATGTTTTGAATGCATAAGAGAACATCCAAAGCAGTAGGCTCAACACTCAGCATAAAAATTTTGCCAGACAATTAAGTGTCTTTAGTCACCAACTTATGCATTTTACTGCCAGATATCATTCGCAGGGCAGCATTCTTTTGTCCTCCTTTAAAAGTAATCTATTGGCCATCACTCTTGAAACTTAGTGTCATATTGTTAAAATCTAAGAGAATTGAACTATATTTTTTTCATCCAATCCATTCCAAGCACCATATCATTACCTCCTAAAGAAAGAACTCTGAAATCACGTTCAAACTGGAACCCTTGCATATTTCATTGCAATTGTTTACTCTGTGCTATACTATATAACCTTTCACCACTTGCCACAGTAATAGCCAGGGGAACAGCATCATCTAGTTTCACCCCTTCCTTTGACAATCTATTCGTGATGAAGTTGTGAGTGCTTCCACTAGCAATTAGAATGTTCAATGGCTTCCCTTTAATATGTCCTTGGATTCACAAGGTATTATGGCCTGTATAGCCATTTAAGGCGCATGGGGAAATTTCTGAATTAAGTTCCTCTGAGGTATATCTCCTTACACAACCTGTTCCTCTTCGAGATGATCTAACTCTCCTTGATCTTCCACTTCCTCCATATAATTAAGTTGTTTAAGCTTACATTGATGACCTGAAAAAAAAATTCCCCACACCTATAACATAAATTGTTTGCTCGTCGAAATTCCAGCAATGATTGTTTAGGTTGTGGTGAAATTTGAGAAGAATTCCTAGTAGGTAATGGCGCTATAGGAGTTGTCTTGATGGCATAATTCTGACTAGAAAAATTTGTCTTAGTTGAATATCTGAGTTTCCTGTTTTTAACCTCCCATGCGAGTTCATACAATTTAGCTAAAATGAAGGCAGCATCCAAAGATTTTGGAGAGTGGGCTTTAACTTGATATTTAATCTCATCTTTTAGACCACCTAAGAAGCTTGAAACAAAATAACATTCATCTAAAGAGGGTCTATATTGCAAAATAAAAGACCTGAGCTCCTCAAACTTATCTTGATACTCTTCAATTGTTCCTCACTGCCTTATTTTATTAAAATCATCAATAACATCATTGCTGTTTTGATCAGAAAAACGATGAAAAATATCAGTAATAAATTAATGCGAAAGAACTTTATGCTTTTGCATAATATAACCATCAAACCATGTGGCAATTTAACCAACAAGGTACATTGCAACTATTTCCAACTTATGGTAATCAGTAATACAAAAAATTGAAAAATAATGTTGGCATTTGCTTACCCATTCTCTAGGATTCTCACCAGTAAATGATGATAGTTCAATTTTAGGTCGAGGAGAAAAAACTCAATGGATTGATTCAAGTTACTATTCTCTTTTTTGTTTAAAAGTCACCGCATCATTTTGACTAGAATCACCGACAATATTTCCCATTCTATTAGGCTAATCATCATGATTAATAGTGGTTTTGAAGCCAATATCCCAAGTTCATTAGGATTAAAAGAGTATTTTTCATTTTCAGCAAGGATAGTAACTTGAACAGGTTTCTTACTAGCATTCTTTGCATGTGTCATCTCCTCCATCTTTTTACTAGTATCAGGAGATATTGGGTCTACCTCTTCTGCGCTCTTAGCCATCAGCGCTAAATTCCGTTGAAGAAATCCTCGTGTCTCATTAGAATTAGCTTCTATGTTTGTAAAATATTCCTCTCAGCGAGCGTTTTGTGTCTCTCACCACCTAGAAATCACTTCCTCTTCCGTATCAACAACTTGTGCCCGATAGTCAGTTGGATTTGTGTCTCACATCTTCTGTTTTTTTCTTATAATTTCCAAGATTGAAAAAAATTGACTATTATGGATCCATCAACCTGGCTTTGATACCAATTTGTCATGATTGGACTTGTATTTGAAGAACTGATATAGGAAAAATAGAGAGAAAGTTGGGTTTGAAGAAAGGAATTCAACAATTTCATTCATGAAAACTCTCCATTGTCTGTTACATGGTATATATAAGTAGAGTTTTCTTGTACTAATTAATTATTTATGTTGACAAATGGATTATCCTTTCTTAACAGAAAGATTCTACTGTATTTCCCTTCAACATTTCTCATCTTTTGGGTCACCAATGACAATATTTCCTGAATCAATGAGCAGCCCACATAGTGCTCGAGCCCATCCCAATTTCTTTCTCAGCCAGGTTTGATTTCTTATCTTTCATTTCCCGCACGTGTTCCTCAACCCCCTTTTCAATTCGAATCCCCAAGTCCATATCAGAAATCCCTAATTTCCTTCCTCAAATATCCAATTCTTCTGTTTGTACCATGACAAAATTTGCTACTGAACGTTAGCTCGTCTGAGATTCAAAGGATCATTTTTCGTCTTGATGCTTTGGTTTTATTTTCCTTGATTTATTGAGTTATTTTCTCTCTTTTCACATTTTTTTTCTTCTAAAAAATTTGTACTTTTTGTTTTTTTTATTCTTGAAATTTCCTCCCGTTTACAAGGTGTGAAGATGTGCTTGAATATGGATGTATAAGAGAGAAAAAAAACTGACGAGGAGAGTTTGAATTTTATGAGATTCTTGGAGAAGTTGAGTTGTAGTGGGACATGAGATTTGATGGGACAATGTAATTGTTTATTTTAAAAGAAGTGGTAGTGGCAGTGTCCTCCAAGGAGAGAAACTTGTTGGTTTTTATTTCTATTTTTCTGGAAAAAATGGGCTATGGTTTTCCTCGGGTTTTTGGTTGTGTAATAGATCTGGGTCTAAGTATTGGGTCCAGACAAAATTTGTAATTACAATTATAATATAATAGTGTTAAAAACAAAAAATTATCAATTTGATTATGATATAAAATTGTTTTTATGTTTTTATTTTTAACAGAATATTAATGATAAATTTAGTATTATGATTTAATTTGAAAGAAAGTCGTAGAGTTTTAGGCTAGATTTATTGAGTTTGTGGTATTTTTTTGATGAAATAAACATAAGATTCGTATTCAGAAGGTAAAAAAAAAAGTGAATTAGAAATTTTGAGGTCTAACATTCATCAACAACAACAATAGATGGTGATCGATGATGTCTGACAATGACGATGATGAGTGACGATCAATGATGGAAGATTTTGTTCGAATTTATGGACCATATCAATATTTTATCTAAAACTAAGTGTCAAAGTGATATCTCATTTAAAATTTAGAGGTTAAATTAATATTTTATCTAAAATTTAATGATTAATTTAAATGTTAACAACTTTTAGTAATATGACACATAATCAAACTAAGAGAAGTTACTAACTTGATGATTAAAATATAATAATCAGTAACATGTATGATCAAAATATAATAATTAATAATTTAAGTGAGTAGAATATATATTTTTAAAAACCATACAAACCAAGTGACCTCTGTGGTTTGGATATTTGTTATTATCTTTTGAAGTTATGAGTTCGAACACAATGTATGCAAAGTATGAACGTTCATTGTTCAATAATTGTGAGTGTTTAAACATATATTATCTTATATTCGTATTATATTTATCAAAAATATATATTTTTTAAAATTTAATAATTTAAATTGAAACAAATTGATTATCTCAATAATTTACTTTAAGGGGGCGTTTGGATGGGGGAATGTGGGATTTTCATGGGAATGGAATTCACATTCCCCCATTTGGTTAGCTCGGAAATCTCATTCCCAGTAATGTAAGATTATCAATAGTGAATTTTTTGGAGTATATTATCAAGAATGTCATTATCTCACTTTCCTTAGGTATTGTTGGATTACCGACGTTTTGGACTAAAATGTCCTTAATTTTTTTTCTTTCAAAAATATCATTATTCTGTCATTGAATAATAAAAATTCTACGAAGGTTAAATTACAAATGTATCATTAAACTATTTTAGATTTAGAAAAAAAAAATCTATAATTAAAATTTTATATGAAGTTCAGGGGTTAAAATAAAATTTTACTCTTTCATTAAACCTTTTTATATTCTCTTTTGTAAAAAAAATTATATAAATTTTATGAATTTAAATTTTTTAAAGAAAAAATATAAATATTTTCTATCTTGTTAAAAAATAAATATTTAATAAAGATAATTTGGTCAAATATACGTTCTAATAATCTTTTATTCCTTTAACCAAACACGGTAATTTTAAACCAAACACGGTAATTTTACATTTCTGCTAAGCCAAGCAAACACAAAATACAACATTCACAGTAATCATATTCTCTGATAATCTTACGTTCCGTGAACCACACGCATCTAATGAAAGATTAGTTTCGTGTAAAAAGAAAACTATATTTAGATGATGTATTGTTATGTTTCACTTTATTACGTACGTTGTTATATTATATTTATAAATCAATTTTAATAATATTTTAATTAATCAATTAATTTTAAGATGAAGTTAGCCCACTTGCATTTGCACTTGGACGGATCCTTACTTTAAAGTCCCCCGGGAATCAACCAAGGAATACCACTTAACTACAACACTCGCATTTAGCAACCCCCAAACTTCCAAATCAAACAAAGAGTTTCAGGTAATTTTCTTTCCTCAGATCTCAACCCTCTCCATTTTTCTTTTTACCACAATTTTTGTCTTGCATCTGTTGATTATCAGTTTCGTATGCTTTTGGGGTTTGTGGGTTTTCTTTTCTTTTGTTCTGAAATATGGTGGTTTTCAATAATTGATGGAGCCCCGAATTCGGGAGTCTTTTAAGATTGGGTTTTAAGTCTTATCTCTTTTGATATCTGTCAAAATAAAATAAGGGAGGGCATTGAATTGTTTCGATAAGTCTTGTTCTTTTTAATGCTTTTGGGTCGTTTGTGGAATTCTTAGATATGTGATTTGCTCAAGGCATTTTAGCTTTTGTTTTAGACAAATGTATTGGATCATGAGGCAAATTTAAGCATAGTTCGATTGGCGATTAGTTTTTTTTTTAATATGTGGTGAATACAAGGACAATATTTGTTCATAACTTTCTTATATCATTGACAATACACACACCTTATGGGCACAGCTATTCGAACTCGGGATGGGTTCCGATTGCCAGTTAGTTGCAATAATAGATATAGTTCTAGGGGTGTAAACGAGCCGACTCGAACTCGAAAACTTTAAATGTAAGCTCGACTCGACTCGAAAACTCGCGAGCCTAAAATTTTCAAGCTCGACTCGAACTCGAAAGATAATATTGAAATTCGACTTGAACTCGAAAAGGCTCGAATTCAAAAAAAAATTAAGAGCTCGATTGAAGCTAGAGACTCGAGCTCGATTCAAGCTTGAACTCGATTCAAGCTCGTACTCGATTCAAGCTCGAACTCAAACTCAAACTCGAATTTGAACTTACAAAAATCTTATATTACATTTAAAATATATAAATAATTTTCCCTTTAATCAACCATCACCAATACATTATAATATGAATGTATGAACTATAAAAATCTAAAAAATAAAAATACAATTACAAGAAATTTAGGATAAATTTTTTTTTTGAAATTCAATCCAAAATCCAAATTAAATGTATAGAGTTCCTTTAAATCAAACCCAAATTAAATTAAAACACTAGTCCCCACGTGAAGCACGACAACCAAGCAGCAACGCCCATACCCTGCTGTCCAAGCACCACCCATGAGCAGGCAAAGGCTCGGCTCCCCATCCAGCCACCCATGCTCCCACGTGAAGAACACCAGCAGCTAAAAAATTGAGCTGCATTGGTCTTGCCAATTTTAGCACCCCGAGCAAGACCCACACCGTGCCCATATCTGCCCATGCCTTGCTCTACAAGACCCCGTGCCATACTGTCGGCCACGAAGAGGAGACCGATGCACTGTTCGTACCCTCCATCCTCTTATGTTCCTGCATTGCATTGAATGATAGCTCCTAACAGTCTAATACCATGAGTATGGTGCTTTGTGTATCTCATAAGTTAAAGTTACCAAACCTACACTTGTCACAGTTTGGAACAATCTAATCTAATATTAGCGGAAGCTAGCACGAAGCTTCTTACCTTAATGAAATAGTTTTTTCCCCTTTTGCAAGTTATAGATCGAACGTGGAAGGCAAGGGTTTTTGTTTCCTTTTCCCTTCACCAAATAGTTCGATGTAAACAAGAATGTCTATTTCATACACCAGCACTTCTCTTACTGTAAAAAGGGATGGGAAAAGATGCTATCAAGTTGCACCATAATGATGTGAGCAAAAAAAATTATGTTGTACCATAATGAAATTATTTGACATTTAAAACAAAGCTAGAGCACTAATGTATCAAAGAAATACTATTATTTCAGATTACGCAATATGCCCTCCTCATAAAACCTGTATAATTTCAAGTCTCAGCTAGTACCTATAACCTCTTCAATTCCCAAAAGAAGAAGAAACTGAATCTCATGCACATATTACCAAAGAAAAAAGGAAACGTAAATGGTAAAACTTCAGAAAATATGCTATAAATTTTTAGAACACAAGTAGGTAACATATTCAAATTTTTAGATATTCAAGTATCCTAATAGAGGCATTACCAAAATCAGTGAATCTCTTATTTGGAGCATGAAGAAACTCTGCATATTCAGCTCCTGATTCTGTCTTATGAAGCTGCAACACCAATGGTCTCCGTGTAACAATCCCTTAAAATGCAAGAAAAAAAAATAGATTTTGGAAGGAACATGTTCTTCATCATAACTGCAACGAGTCCATGATGATCTCATACCTCAACCATGGAGCCAAGCAAAAACTAAAACATACTAGAAAATTTAGACAATTGATCTAGTTTTTTATGTGCTTACTTACTAGCATCCGAGAGTATTTCTATATAGCGGGGGAAATAAAAAATATACATGCATCCCTGTTATAAATTTGTCTTATTCTGGCCAGAAAATTTGTGCTAACAAATGGAAGCAAACTAAGCTCCCACAAGTTGATGCCCTGCAACACCTCATCTCAGCATCATTCTCAGCTGCTCCCTGTTATTTCTTTGTATGTGTCGCTTATTTTCTGAAACAGAGCATCCCTGAAGTTTAAACAAGTAGAGATTAACACCATCATACTATATAAATCACCCTTTTTTATGTTAAATTTGAGACTTGCCTGTCTGGTTTGAAAATAAGGTTGTATACAAACCACTGCAAGGATACATAAATAAAGAATCATACAAAAGTGGGAAATTCCCAAATATAATGCTTTGATCTTCCTACTAAACTCGAATGAAACCGGCTTACCGTGGTGTAAACTGTAACCAATACCGACGAGCTCCAGAATGACAGGAATCAAAGGAAGCCTGTCAATTGCCTATTACATAAACACTCCCATTTTCACCAAATCAAATTTTCCAGCGCTTAATCACTTGAGACAAATCTGCAGTTTCAAGAATCTCACCGAGACTATTCCAGTAGAGCCCCATAGGGCAACTATAATGACAAAAATAAGTGTACTCACAACATACTTGTCCTCGACTTTATCCCACTGGAAAGTGAACCAAATCATTCACGTGTACATGTATAATAAATTAGTAATAGGAAAAGAAATGAACATAGAGAAGTGCTTCCAAACAGCAAGATCCGACATTTAAGTGCTTCGTTTTCCTTTTATTCGTTATCTTATCCAGATTCCAAGAACATAGATGAAAATTTACCAGATCCACGAGGTAAGAAATCCCTCCCGACAATGCTCTCCAAAACTGAAGATTTCCCAGAGCTCTATTTTCCAATGAAAAAAAGTAACAAATTAAAAAAAAAGCAAAAAAATAGAAGGAATAAATGAATGGGTTTATTAGGAATTCGACTTGGCCACCGACAACAACAACAGAAGGAAGAGCTTCCCACATAAGGAGTGCTTGGTTCTGAACTTTTTCACGGCGGCGTTGCTAGTGACGGGGAGAGGGTTCTGTTTTCATGGTGGCTGTGGGTTTTGAGAGGGTCACGATGGCGGTCGAAGTAAAGAACTCTGTTGAAGAAAGGCGAGAGGAGCGGAAGCTGTGGCACTGTTTTCTGGTTTGCGTGAGAATGAGAGGGGAGAGTTGGAGAAGGTTAGGGCGTGAGGAATGAGGATTGAGCGGAAAATGAATATTTAGTTTAGGTTTGTTTTAATTTAGGTTCTAAATCCTAATTAGTTTTGGGGTTAATTATCGTTTAGCTACCGTAACCTTAGGAGTAAATTATTTTTAGGCTCTCTAAATTTATGCGTTTTGTACAAAAAAAAGTCCCTAAATTGTTTAAATTTTAGCTTAAATTAATACTCACATTTTTTTTTAATTTAGTCCATGTTTAAGGTTGTTTTCTTTAATTAGTTGTGTATATTTATTTTGCATGTTTATATGTTTATGTATAAGTATGTGAATTATTTATTTATGAGTCACATAACATCATTTTGCATAATTTGTATGTTACATTCATGTGAATAACTTGAACCTTAAACTCTAAACTCTAACCCCTAACACATAAACCTTAAATTCTAAATTCTAAACCTTAAATCCTATTGCATAAACTCTAAACCTTAAATCCTAAACTCTAAACCCTAAATCATAAACCTTATCACATAATTAGTTACGAGGTAAGTACAATATAGTATCTTGATATTAAATGCTCAAACTCTTGATATTTATGATATTTGAACCCAAAACCTCAAAATATAACAACAATTTAAAAAATTAGTTATTACAAATATTATCATTAGAAATATATTAAATATTTGTCATTAGATAAATATTTTTTTTTAATTTAAAATAAATATAAGAATATTTATTCAAAAAAAAAATTTAACCATTTTCAATTCAAGAATATTTATTCATAAATAATGTATTTTTAATATATTTTTAATAATGTAATTTTAAAAAATCTAAAATTATAATATAACATTTTTTCGAGCTGCTCACGAGTTTTTCGAGTCGAATATTGAGTAGCTCGTTTCGGCTCGTTAAGAACTCGACTCGAGTTCGAACTCGAGTCGAGTCCATTCGATCCGAGTATTTATCGAGCCAAGATCGAGTCGATCTCGAGTATCTCGCGATCTGTCTCGTCTCATTTACAGCTCTATATAGTTCTATGCTCTATCCATTAATTTATATTTTATTATTATTTTACTTGATGCCATTTGGGAACTTTAGTATCATACAAAAATCGTAGGTTTTGCTCCAGATTCAATTATTTTCAAGGGTTCCTTTATTATAACTTCCATAAGGCTGGTTAGGTTGTTAGAAATTGATCACGGAAATATCTCCGTTCATATATTCACCAATACCATGCTTGTGATTCTAGGCATTTTAAGAGTCATCTTTTCAATGCCCTTCTGTAATAGTATAATTTATAACAACCAGGTACATGGACATATAAAAAAGAAAAAAGAATTCCTTGTTATTTGGTCAATACAAAAGATTGTCTTCCTTGAAACTAAGGAAACAAGTTTGATTGTCCATCTTTAGTATAGCTTGCATTGATTCTTGTGCATCATCAATATAGCTGAGACTTACAACATGCCGATTTGGTTGAAAGACCCGCAAATAAAGTATGCTTATTTGTGTGGCATTGTTTTACCTTGTTCTTTTTAATGTTGGTTGGGACATGGAGTGATCTTTGTTTGCAGTCATTCGCATGATAAAGGAAGATGGGCTACCCCGGCCAGAACATCTTCATTGATGCTTGACAATCTGCTTCTTAAGCAGTACGAGTTAATGGAAAAACCTTTCTCAGACTCTTCCATGTTGTTATCTTCAGAGCTGTGGTTCATCACAGGTACAATGACTGTGAAAGTGAAAAGAGAGGAATTCTCTGGTATAGCAGACATGGAGTCAATGTTGAATTTTAGCTTTATATTCAGGAATGATCTAGCTTAATAAGTTGTTAAAATACCCACTGGTGAACGATTGAGAAATGTTTTGGTTTGTTTACGATTTCAAGAAGGAACAACTGTTAACTGGTTTAGCTTGCTATTTGTTGATGAGATTTTGGGAATGTCTTCAAGGGATACTGTGATAAGAGATGCATTTTGCTTTATTTGATTAATGTGCCATAGGCTTTAGTCTTCCCACAGAAAATTATTCTGTCTGTTGCTGCGCATTTGCTTGTCGTATAAAACTCAGCCTCTATTTATCAGTAACTGCTTCCTTCTTGAATTCTGTTTTTCAACATGTGATGGAAAAATTATATCTAATTTATGATAAATTTACAATTTATCTTATGTGTGGCTGTAGTGTTGTAAAACGAAAACATAACTCTGGTTTCGAGGGTCACAAAGACGGAAAGATGAGTCTTGCTTGCCTCGTGTGCCACCGTGTGGAAAGTCCATCACACTCTTTCAGGAGTTACTCCGTGCCAAGTTCAGATAACGAGGGAAGATGTTCAGCCGTTACTAACTGCCTAGCAAGGAAGCAGCCACTACCGTCTGCTAGACCGGCTATAACAACAACCTCCAAAGTGACCCCACAACCAAGTTTTCAGAACAGTGCCGGAATGGCAGGTCCCCCGCGGCTGGTGCGTAGTCGGGCTGTTAGGAGGGATATTGTGAGAGACTGGAACTTCGAAGAGGCGATAATGGAACGCTAGTTTGCTTAGTTAGACAACGAGAGTGGGCGAGGTCTGTCCGTTTGCCACTTGGGATATAGTAATAGAACCTTTGTTTTCTGCCGCTCTATTTTGTAGTTTGCAATGGGTGAATACTGATGTGTTTCAGCATATGTAAACAATCTGAGTAAGATTATTGAATGTGAAAAACATGTCACATGTGCTCGTCTCCTGCCTTATTTATCTATGCTTGTGTACAGCATCCGCATGGCTTACAATCTGTGCAGCAACCTCAACCCACTAGGTTTGTGTATGTTAGATGTGATTTTGGAAAGAAAAAAAAATTTAAGTATAAAAATAGAGAAAAAGTAATAGTTTAAGTATTAAACGTATAGTGTACCAGCTGGGACAGTTCACTCCTCGTGAAACATCTGCCTCTACGTACCTTTATTTGTTAACTGTAAGTTAATTTGTGATGAGTTTTTTATTTAAAAGATTGTTCTGTTTATTTTTGAGAAGTAAAATAGTTTGGTAGTAATTTTGGTTATAATTTAGAATGTTGCGTGAGTTTTTTTTACAGTAACTTTTTAAGTTGCAATTAAAATAGTTATGAAATTTTTATAATTTGTTACGGAGGGCATAATATTTGCCGTTTCAATCTAAAATGTTATCCAACTTACTCTAAGACTTGCGTACTTGGTAAACTTTTTAGTTATAATTAAATGTAACTTTTTTAATCTTATATTAACCGGTTGTAGTTTAGACTTCCCGTTAGTTAAGTTGATTTTTTATTTTTATGACGGTATGGTTGGTTCAAATTCAAACTTGAGATTCTGTGCAAACTTGAAAAGGAGTACTGAGTTATGGGGATAAACAAGGAAGATGAGATTGAATTGTTACCAAGTATAATAATTTACTCCTCTCCCACTCTCTGTCTTGTTTTTCTTATTCGAACTTTCCCTGCTTTTAAAGGTTCAAAGTGAACCTTTCATCATTACCAAGTCTTTTTAATTTGAAACGCATCAAGTAAGATTTGAGTTTGTGATCAACTAGTTACGAAATGGGTATTCTTCAAAAAGTAACCTTGATCTTGATACCATGTTGTAACAAACGATATTTGGGAAATGTATTATCAATTTACATTTACAAGCCCATATATATATATATATATACACAAAGATAACCTAACCGAGTAACTAATTATCTAACTGATTATTAACAAACTGACTCCAACATTCAATGAAAATTCATAGATACTATGCTAATACACAAAATTATAATTGAAGTATCACATTAGATTCTTTTTTGAGATTATATGCATCAAATTAGATACTTTAATAAAAGTACAAACACACATTTTATCAAAGTATATGTATTATATAAGATATTTTTAAAGTAAATATAGTCAAGGGGCATCGGGGCAATTAATCTCTGAAAATTTTAAAATTATAATATATTCTAAATATTTTCTTTGTATTTTTTAATAAAAAAATTCTATTTTCGTCCACTAAAATTTTATAAGTTCTTATCATTTTAAAATTTTGTAAGTTTTTCCCTCGTAACGTAAAATCCTATGTCCGTCCTAAAATAATATTAAATACTTTATGAAAAACAGGTATCAACTGTGATATAATTTCAAAAGCTTTAAAGTTAGATTTAAGGTTGTCCAAATTATAATTTACTCAAAGAAAGAAAAAGGAAAACACTAATAGACGATTTGAAGTTCAAAGTTCACGAGAGTAACGCATGAGGTGAGTACCAAATTTATAGGTAACCAAAGAAAATGAAATGTTAGGGTGCAGGAGGGGACCCTCAATCTAAGAATCTTAGCATAAAAAAGTTGTAAACTTGGGACAGCTCAACTAATTTTTTTTCCAAAGGCACATCCACCACCAAAGGCCCTTTTGATTTTTCTCATATTTTTTACTAGAAAAACAGCCGACGATGAGAAGCAACCATGGTCACTACTGAAGAATTCAGCTTCCCTACCACCACCACCGATTTGTTCAGCTGTGGCATCGAATCGCCACCGTTATGGAACGTTTCTCCAGCGGTGTCTCCCGTTCGAAAAGCCAAAGGTAAAGAAGGAGAACATGAGAATGAAGAGGAGAAGATGGACATGTTGTGGGAGGATTTCAATGAAGAATTGGGAGGCGGAAGTAGAGAAAGGTCTTCGGAACAAAATACGAAATTATGGAAAATCAATGGAGGCATGTTTTCTTCAAGCACAAGAAGGGTAGGCATTCGCGTTTTCATGAAGGTTTTAAGAAAACTCTTTTTGCTCCATAGTTCTCAGGTTCCCACATGCCAAATATAATCCCTTATTTGATTGTTTTCTACATATTTGTTGCTCCGAAATTATCCTCCCGAGTTTTAATATCATGTCCATATGAATTGTAGTTACTCAAAATGATTCATATATACTTGTCTTTTACATCAATTTAACTCCTTAATGATTTCTTTCAAAGAAGATATGATGTTTCTAACTCTGGAATGCATGATGAATTTTTTTTTTTTAGATTTTGAAATACATAAGAGAAAAAAATTGTAATATCTCATAGAGATATAAGGTTTTATGTTCGGGTGCAGATTTGAGAAATTCTATTTGAATTTATTAAGTGTCCTCAGTGATAGAAAGGATATTATTCTCCCTAAAGTTCTTAGATTCAAGCAATTGGGTCTGTGTGGTGTATAAAATTTCAATGAATTAAGAAAATTCTAAATAGACACAACCTTGTAATCATCTTGTATTATTAAGAAAAATAAGTAATTACATTATCGATAGAAAATAAAAAAAAACCTCAACTATATAGGGATTTTAAAATATAAAAATTATCATACCCAACTTTTTATAGGTCCATCGGGTTGGTAATTTAAACTTGTTTAATGAATTTAAAAAAAACAAAATACTAAAAAGTCAACTTCTAAAATTTCGGTTTGGAATTTTGTCCAAAGAGATTCGAATATTATAATTAACATTCAATAATTGTGCCATGGTAAATACCACAATATTATTATAATAGAAATTAATATGGTTAACTCCACCAACAAGTTTAAATTAATGAATTAAACATTCATTTGGTATTTTATATAGTTTAGTGTGTTTGATTCCCTTAGTGACATCATTCAAACCATTAATTGTATATAATTAAATAGTTTTACTTTTCATATTAATTGTATTATATATAACTAGACAATTGCATTTTGATCATTCCTCTCACGGTAAAACTTTAATGACTTCAAAGTTTTAGAATTCTTTTTTTTTGTTAGTCAAGGACTTGTCGAATTATTTTATAGGGTAAAGTACACAAATGGTCATATGGCTATAAAATATTTCTTTATTAAATTTTTTGACTATTAAAAGTTATAAAATAATCATTTGACTATAGATTGTTTCTTTATTAAGTCCCTCAACTAATAAAAATGAAAAAAATAATCATCTAACTATTCATTATGTTCCAAACTTGTCTTTTTCATTAAAAATTGGCAGTTGATGACTAGAATATGATAATCGTTTGCGATTCTAGGATAATATTTTATCATATCACAGTCAGTAGGTTACATTCAGCATAAAGACCATCAATTTTTTAACAGAAAAGGACAAGTTTAGAGCATAATGAATAGTTGAGCGATAATTTTATAACTTTTAATAGTTGAGGGACCCAATAAAGTAATATTCTATAGTCGGATGATTATTTTGTAACTTTTAACAATCAAAGGATTTAATAAAGTTGTCAAGATGAAATTAATATGATGTTTTAATTTTTTTTTTAGAAAATGAGCTTTTGAATCTTTCCTCATGAGAGGAGAAAAAGGTCTTATATAAGAAAAAAATTCAAGAGAAATTTATAACATACTCGTGAGAGGGAAATCAAAATTTATTATGTTGTATGTGATGATGAATGTTTGATGCAAATATGCAAATTTATGTAACATGTATGTTTATGTTGATACATGTTTTCTTGATTCAATGGTCAAGGACGGACGCATGAGCAGTCTTCATCTCTTGCTAGTTTAGTTGTCTTCACTCTTTGTCACACCAGAGTGTAACCTTGTAATTTTTTACTTGTGTTAATTTCTTCATGCCCAGCAAAATTTGCCCGAAAAAATTGTTATGTCTTACTTCGATTCTGATTTTGAGCTCATATTCCTGAGTGACATTTGCCAATTTCCAAGATCTGCTCTAAAGAGATTATCTTGTTTGAAAAATATTTTTCTTCCTTTATTTTTAAAAGTTGAAAATGATTTATGAAGAAGCATTGAAAAATGTTCGATAAATTGTTTTTGAAAAATATGTGATGATTTTTTTTAAAATGTTGTCCTTGTCTTTAGGGTTCACAATTACGACAAATTATAAAATAAGAGTTTATTGGATATCAAAGAATTAACTTCTCTTTTAATCTTTCAAAGTTATAGCTCTTTGACAAGTGTCAAGATTAATACTAATTTTGAGGTAAGGTATATTCTGAAAAATAAGGTGTCTCAGGTTAGCATCTTTGGTTAATCCTGGGATTTTTGCTTCTTTGGTGTAAACTAATTAGATGAAATGGTTACTATTCTCATTTATTGGAAGTGTTCATCGATTCTCAGCTCTTGTGAGTGAATTTGGGTTGTGTGGTGCCTTATAAAGAGATTTATAAGATTGCCTCCTATGCAACAGCTGTATAATCCTCATATTCGAATCACCTTTTTAGGTTTTCAACTCAAATCCTCCTTTGGTTTCAAGACATTATTCAAAATTTTATATCTTGAACCCTCTTTGTTATTTTTACCTATCATGCGTTAGACATTTTAAAAAACCTTTTACAAATGAAAGATTGATCCTAAGAGATGAAATGAAATATGAAGATAGTTTCTTTTACTTAGAAATCCATGTAAGATTAAAAGGGACTTTTTAGGCACGTAATGTAGATCACGGTTCATGGTTATGAAAAAAATGGATAAATAAGCCCAAATAAGTGCTTAAGGGTGACTGAACCAAGGATCAATTTATTCAGATGCCTTAAATCTTGTCTTGCTCGATTTGAATATGCTTGTACTGCTTATTTTATTCTTTATTTTTCTGGATCCCTCTAGACTGCCCATTTTTGGGTTTTTACCCTATAGTTCATTTTCTCTCTGATTTTCTTATGAATTGCTTCGAGATCTTCAAAACTGTTGTACTTTATTAATCTTGTGGTTGAGGCTATATGAGTCGTCTAACTTGAGGGACTCTTTGGATGCTCTTTTTTCCCTCTCTATTTGAAGAATTCTACATTTCTATTTGAGTATAAATTATTACGTTGTTGTTCTCGACTTGATTTAAACTTCAGACACTTTGTATTTGGTCCAACTTATTATACCTTATTATTTCTCACTTTATTCCATAAGGCTTGTCTTTGTAACAAAACCTGGATTGATGGTCTTTACTTCTATGAGCATATGTCATTCACTTTGCCCCCCAATGTGGAGGGCGATTCTTTGTTAGGGTTGAATCAGAAGAAAAATAATTTAGGCTCAAATAGGGACAATAAGAGATATATGTTTTCTCCTTTTGTGAAGGGATATTGAAAGAAAGCTATTCATCATTTCATACATGGAAGTCCCTGCAAAAGAGGTATTCCTAAGGGGATAGGTATTCAAGATTAACTTTTATTTACATGAAAACAATGTAATTAATACATGATAGAATTATTTCAACTACATTTCATTTCTTCTTCTTGCTTCTAGAATGCCCCAATTAACTGGGCTCATCTTTAGAAACTTGATCCAATATGCCCCATCTTGTTTATTCTTGTAGGAAGTTTCACGGGGGAAAAAACATCTTGGACTTAATTTATTCAAGTTCTATTAGTTGAAAACTGTCAGTTTAGTTTCTAAGAAGATGAGGGGGTGAATTTATTGTCTCAAAGAAAGGTAAGGTTTTGACTTCGAGTGTCTTAAAAAGGATAAAGGTAGTGTTTTAAAATCTTAAAGAGAGGTAATGCCAAACTTTGGCCTTTGGGTAGTGACCATTAATTATTTTGGGTAAAGAATCGAATGGTTGTATTTTTGGGTTTGAACGGGATAAGAAGGGTTTTATCTTGTCACTTGCCCAGATGCCATAACCTTGATTCTCAAGATAGCATTTAATTAAAATGATTTTTAAAGAACTACAAGATAAAAATTTGTTTATTGCTCATAACCTTAGAAGGTGGAATTTTATTTAATATGAATATCAAGTGACTTGCAAACCTTTAAAAAGAAAGAAAGAAAAAGACAAGTTCAAACAAGATGTAATGCTTATGCAAGTGCAACTTCATGGTGGATGTAATGAATTATTCTTGATCTGCATCAGAATGCCCTATCATTCATCGAATGTACATACCCCTAACTCAGTCAAATTTTAGGCCTTGCATTTGAGTAGCCTACAATTCTCAGAAATCACGTGAATTAACTTCCACAGAGTTATTCACGAATTAATTCGATGTTTTCATGATTAATGCATGTGAAGATGCTTAAATGAAAAGGTCAAAATGTGAATGCACTGCATTAAGTATTGATCCCAAATATGAATATCATAGAACAAGTTTCACTAGAGATAAAAGTCTTCATTTTTACAAGATAGTCCATTTTACAAACATGCTATTACTTGGATGATGGGTCTGGACTGGGTCAATACTTCATCTCAGAGCTTATTCCTTGAAAACTATGCCCCTTAAGTGCTCCATGACCTTTTTGGCTTGTGTAGAAGCTTTATTCAAAATATGGCCCATCTCGGATGATGCCTCTACGACGTTGGAGTCATGCGTCAATCCTTGATGATTAATGGTGAAAAGGTTGTAGATAAGAATCTACTGCTGCATCATTTATGGGATCAAGTGATCAATTTTCAAATCTTGGATGTCCTTATATCGATCAACTTTGATACCTATTCTTCGAGAGAGCTTCTTCTCGTCCTTATTGAGCTCCCATTAGTCAACGATGTATGTCTATGTATGAGACTACTTGATTAATAAACTTTTTCTCTATTTATGAAAAAAATTCAATTAGAGAGTCATTTGCGGATCAAAACCTTATGTTATGCTATGATGTTGTAATGCAAAAAAAATAATAATAATAGAAAAATGTCCACAAAAAAAATGAGTTAGTACATGTAAGATAATCGATAAAGATAAAGTGTTATTCAAAGATAAATGTAACACCTACACAATCATGGTATCTACCCAAACATGCTCTTATTAAATAGCAATCCTTCTCAGACACGCTTTCTACCCAACATGACTTATTTCAGTAAGTACATCCTAACCGTGTGATATCTAATTTGCATGTTTTATTCGAAAAGAAATTTATTCTACG